TTCAGCTAAATTTTACAAGTTTCATCAATCAAGTGCATGATGTGACCACATAAAATGCAAACTACGAGTAACGGCTGAGATGGTTAGGACATGTGTTACGTATGCATGCCTAGTCATCGCCTTCCTCTACCTGCCGTGTGAAGTGGTATAATAAGATGACCAATATTGAGGTTAAGCTTCGGTCGAGTGCTAGGTAAGGAGGAAGGGGACATCAGTCGACGAGGCTGTGAAATTACATCGACTGAGATGGGTAGGACATGTGTTACGTATGCATCCCTAGTCATCGCCTTCCTCGACAATGGGCAATGTTAGCTGATATAGGGTCAGGCTGGAAAAGAGCTAGCCAGTGGTGGTCAAACCAAAACATGGCTGCACCAGTCAAAGAAATCCTCAACAGTTAGTTTAAGCCAACCAGCTAGCCACGTAGAAAGGTGTAGACTTCCTGGTTGGGGTCCTCGGGACGGTAAAAACCAACGGTTGGAAACAATTGGTGATATGGCTCAAAGTCATCGTTCCTCAATGGCCGGCTGGCACTGATGCATCCACTCCCTGTGACTTATAATTCCCAATGAAACTCTATTGTTCTTCGTTATTACTATTTCTTTCTTCTCACACCCCTGTTTACTGTCTTTATTACGCATTTCTACTACTACTTCTACTTTCTTCTCTTGCTTTGTGTGTTACATGTAGGGAGTATGACGACATGAACTGCCGCACATCGGTGCAAAGTCGAAAACAGACAGACAGAAATTATGTGTAAGAACCAATCAGAATAAATTGGAAGGATGTGTAGTTAAGCGCCTAATAAAATAAAAGCTTAGAACTGATACTCTTATCCAAACATAAGTACACAAATATGGAGCTTTCAAGCACAGATTGAATCAACCTTACCTCCGGACGAAAATGCATCGACTTGACAAAGACATTGGAGAATAGATATAATAGTGAAGATTTGTAGTTCAGATGGATGATTTTGATGTGGTTGTGTTCTCTGAGCTGGATAGTTAATTTGCGAAGCTTTCATCGCCCTACTAAAAGACATCTACAGTGCATACTTCGATTTGAACTGCCAACCAAAAGACTCAACAACGAAAGAAGACAAAACCAACAACATCTACAAAATAAATTGTAACAACTGCGAAAAACACTACATTGGTCAGAGTGGACGCCTCCTTCGTCTCCGATATCCACGAACATAAGCTAGTCGTCAAAAGACATGATATCCACTCCCTCATAACACTACATACAGACAACCACGGACATCCATTCGACTTGGACAACCAACGTTCAAATCTTAGACAGAGGAAATAACAAGAATGCTAGAGAATTTTTAGAAGCTTGGCATTCCAGTGGATTATCAATCAATAGACACATCGAGATAGACAAAAGTTATCAACCAATAAGAAAGAAACTTCATACACAAAGGGTTAAAGTTCAAGTCAAAGAAACAATCAGTTCCAATACAAGTCTGTCTGTCTGTTTTCGACATAGAACTTTGCACAAATGTGCGGAAGTTCAAGTCGCCACATTCCGTGTAGCACGCGAAGCAAGAGAAGAAAGTACAAGAAAAGCATAATACAAACAGTGAGCAGAGGTGTGAGACAAAGGAGTAATAAAGAAATACAAAACAGTTTCATTGAAGATCCAATACAAGTAACCCAGACGGTGTGGAAACACACAAAAACAACCAATCACGTCCAAGGTCACCAGGAGAGATGATTAATAAACTCGTGGAGAAGTCTAAAAGCTCACTTCAAATTGAAGTAGGCGCTGAAGATGTCGCCCAGATTACTAGCTCGCTAGTTTTCTAGCCGGTCACAAACCCGAATAAAGAGTGAGGGTTGGGGTGTGGTGCTAGCAACTCCACCCCTAAATCTTAACCAAATCGCTACAGAAACTTCAACGCAAAAATATATTAAAAATTCTAGTAGAGCGATGAAAGCTTCGCAAATTAACTATCCAGCTCAGAGAACACAACCACATCAAAAACATTGGAGAATGTATGTGAACAGTAAGTGGAATTCAACAATAATAATCTCTGTTAATTCGAGTCTGACTATTTACTGTCGAGAATTTTCACAACAAAACCTGATATATTACGACAAAATGAATAGCTGTGAAGCTCATCACCCAAGAGGTTACACGAAATAACCTGCTGAGGAAAATCCATAAACAACAGCTAATGGTTTTTCGAAACACAGAAACTTAAGGCAACAATGTACTACTTGTATGTAGAAATTACTTGGTAATTATCCTCAACCATGATCAGCTAATGACATACTACCAATAATACGACAGACCTCCCTCGTTAATCATTACATCAGAAAACCCATAACTGATATCATAAATCCCACTGACCACCATTCAGTGCCCATTAAGTTCATCATCGTGCTGAAATCACAGTTTACACGGACTATATTGTCGTATCCAGTAAAACTCTGTTGTTCTTCCACATTACTTACTATTCTTTTTCCCTCACTCACACACTTCTGTTTATTTTCTACCTGTATTGAATCTATCTCTTTACTCTTTTATCTTGCTTTGCGTGCCACATGGAGTGTGACAACTCGAACTAGTGCACTTCTGTGGATAGTTCTATGTTGAAACCATTCAGTCAATTTTTACGGATCCTAATGTTTCCTCTGTTTCGAATTTGGGGCAAGTGATCAGTTCTCAGAGATTCCTTAGGTTGTTTGTGGTACTTCAGAGACATGCTTGTGTTGGTTGCATGCAACGCTAAAAATACGCAGTCAGTTAAGTAAAACATTAAGACTGAAGAGTGACGAACCATTGAAAAGCAGAACGGAGTACTGGACAGCTGTTTTGTCCTAGTTTGGGAGTCATTATCAGTACACATCCATCGCCAGGTTTCGAACCCAGGACCTCTGTTATAGGTCAAGCTCGTAGGCCATTCAGTCACCAGGACCCGACTTAACGGCTGTCCCATGAATTCTAACTTCTAACAATTAGTGATTTAGCGGGGTTCGAGCCCGCACCGACGCACACCTGATATTTAATCTACGAATGTTTGGCATGCGATTCGCTCCCGCCAAATGCAAGATGATGTTACAGGACTGGACTACATCGACTTCCAGTTTAAAAATAGGAAGTGAAGTGGTAGAACACGTTGACCACTTCACTTATTTGGGAAGTACCATCAGCCAGTGCCAACGGGTTGATCTCTGACGAAATCTCAGCACGAATACAAGGGGCTCGTTTCGCATTTGTTAGTTTACGCCGACTCTGACGTAGACGAGATGTTCGACTATCAACCAAAGGGCGGGTGTACTGCTCATCAGTCCGCTCCGTCCTCCTTTATGGTTGTGAGACCTGGTCACTGGGAGTGGAAGACATGAAAAGACTAGCTGTCTTTGATCATAGGTGCCTGCGTTCTATTTCCCGTGTAAAGTGGCATAATAAGGTGAGCAACATTGAAGTTAGGCGTAGAGTTCTAGGTGAACAGGGGAAATCAATCGACGAAGTCGTGAAGCTACATCGACTGAGATGGTTAGGACATGTGTTATGTATGCCAAGCCATCGCCTCCCTCGACGAGCAACGTTAACGGATATAGGGTCAGGCTGGAAAAAAGCTAGCGGCGGTCAAACAAAAACTTGGCTTCACCAGACAATGAAATCCACAACAGTTGGTCTAAGCCACGTTGGAAGGTGTAGACTTCCTGGTTGGGGTCCTCGGGACGGTAAAAATCTATGGTTGGAAACAATTGGTGACATGGCTCAAAATCGTTCTCAGTGGCGCAGATGCATCCACTCCCTGTGACTTATGATGTTCAATGAAACTGTTTTGTTCTTCGTTATTACTCCTTTGTCTCACACCTCTGCTCACTGTTTCTATTATGCTTTTCTTGTACTTTCTTCTCTTGCTTCGCGTGCTACACGGAATGTGGCGACTTGAACTTCCGCACATTTGTGCAAAGTTCTATGTCGAAAACAGACAGACAGACAGTGATTTCATAACTGGTATTTTTCCTCACTACCTCGGCCTCGTGGACCCCACTGGTCACTAGAACTTCAGGCAACTTAGTTCTGCAGCCAGTCACACTAGCGCATGAGAATTAATTAGTTAGTAACGAAAGTTGTGGACCAACTGCTTATTTGGGAAGTACCATTAGCCAGTGCCAACGGGTTGATCTCCGACGTATTCTCAGCACGAATACAGAGGGCTAGTTTCGCATATGCCAGCTTACACCGTCTCTGACGTAGACGAGATGTTCGACTATCAACCAAAGGGCGGGTGTACTGCTCGCCAGTCCGCTCCGTCCTGCTTTATGGCCGTGCGCGAGACCTAGCCATTGAAAGTGGAAGACATGAATAGATTAGCTACCTTTGATCATAGGTGCCTGCGCTCTATCTCCCGTGTGAAGTGGTATAATAAGATGACCAATATTGAGGTTAAGCTTCGGTCGAGTGCTAGGTAAGGAGGAAGGGGACATCAGTCGACGAGGCTGTGAAATTACATCGACTGAGATGGGTAGGACATGTGTTACGTATGCATCCCTAGTCATCGCCTTCCTCGACAATGGGCAATGTTAGCTGATATAGGGTCAGGCTGGAAAAGAGCTAGCCAGTGGTGGTCAAACCAAAACATGGCTGCACCAGTCAAAGAAATCCTCAACAGTTAGTTTAAGCCAACCAGCTAGCCACGTAGAAAGGTGTAGACTTCCTGGTTGGGGTCCTCGGGACGGTAAAAACCAACGGTTGGAAACAATTGGTGATATGGCTCAAAGTCATCGTTCCTCAATGGCCGGCTGGCACTGATGCATCCACTCCCTGTGACTTATAATTCCCAATGAAACTCTATTGTTCTTCGTTATTACTATTTCTTTCTTCTCACACCCCTGTTTACTATCTCTATTAAGCATTTCTTCTACCAACTGCTTGCTTACAAACTGCAGTATGCTACCTTTATAACAACAGCTACATATATGTGATCTACCATAACAAAAACAACCGTTATGTTATTACAACAAAAGCCTCAAAATGTGGTAATATAAAACTATTTTGCATGCTTAAAAAACCTGTCACATTATTTAAACATGTGTTAAAAGTGAATCAATACATTCAATACATCATACATCATCAGCATCAAACAATATACACAAACAAACAATCAAGAGAAGCATGAATATCTCCATCAAAAGTTGTGTGTGTGTGTGTGAAATACCAAAAGAAGAATTAAGCAAAAAGACGAAAACCATTTCACAGCTGATCTTATCATCATTTATTATTATTATTGTTGTTGTTTATCATTGCCACTGAGGTTTTATGATGTTGCGCTAAAATGTAGATGTTCAGAAATAAAAAAGAAAAAATGGCCGTCAAAGTGTCACTGTGTATAACACAACGGCGGGAAAATGCAACTTCAATTATGGAAGGAGTGGATGTAATGTGTACAACATGTATGGTGAGCGCGCATTAGAGAGGGGGCCATGGGGAATAATCAATCAACACGTACACACACATACAAACATACATACAAACAGACTCAATTATTAACACGCACACGCTCACGCCCACACAAACAAACAAGAACATTTCCAGGGATTTTATTAATGAAGAACATAAAACTGATGATAATAATAAAACTAGATATGACTGATTAGTGTGGAATAGTTTTGTTTTTCGCTTTTGTCTACACATATGAGGGCACAAATCTGTTGGTGTGTGTTTGTATTTGATTTCCACAGACTGAGAGGAAAGGAGAGAGAGGGAGACTCAAATGCAGTCCACTTGTATCTCAATGTCGCCCACCACCAGATGAATGATCCTAAAATAAAGCACACACAAAAATAAGAATGAAGATTAATGAAGTGGGGGTGGGGGGTGAATTTTGCAAGTAATCAAAGGTAATTGTAAACATCACATACATATATAATTAGATTAGACTAGTCAACTTGTTAAATTAAATGTCAGTTGGAAAACGGAAAGTATTAAATAGGCAAGCATGTTAACATCGACAGTGTTTCATCTTTCTCTAGGCGTTATGTTTTTTGATGTTATGTATACACAAATACGTTCTGGTGAGGTGATACAAACAGCTACAACAAAAAGACTTACCACTTTACTCTTGCGCTTAAAAAGTGAATAAAATGAGTGTGTGGGTGTGTGTGCGTGTAGTGTTAAACAAAGGAAATGAGCAACAACATACGAGGGGTTAGTATCTGTCACTGCACAAATATGTTCTGGAACGGCGAATCGACCGAAGGGGGGGGGCGGGGGTAGTGCGTATTAGGTTCGAAATACTGGTGAATAGATAAGGAATATTCTTCCAGATAACTTCTACAGTTGTATATCCATAGTAGTTAAAGAATAATTGTCACTAACAACAACAATATTCTCGGATGATACAGATACACTGAGGTCAGGATCGCCGATATGTGTAATATCTGATTCCGTACACACACAGTGAGTGATACAGTATTACTAACTGGATGATGTTTCGATCAGAATTTGTTGGTAATCATAATCATACCATGAACGTCAGATAACTAAGTTAATGAGATCATGGAGTACAAGGAATATTATAGTAGTGAATCGGTCTGACTATTAACTCCAACTAGCAAATGATTTTACTGATTGTAGTAGATTGGATAATGCGACAGACAACGGGTTAGCCAGCGAGGAAACTGGCATAAAGTGGACCCTCACGAAAAATTCGGAGGATCTCGACTTCGCCGATGTGATATATATCTGATTTCCCACAAACTGGAAGATATGCAAGTGAAAAGTAACAGGTTGATAGTAGAACCATCAAAGATAGGAAGGACTACAAGTAAACATATGGGAAACAGAGGTAGGTGATGAAGATTCCTGGTCAACACTAACGGCAACAACAACAGACAACAATCAGCATAAATAGGAGAAATCTGTAAGAAACAACGTCTTTTACACCTACATGGGAAGCATCGTTTCATCTACAGGCGGAACTGACGAGGATATCAAAGCCAGAATCGGAAAAGCAAGACAAGCTTTCATTACTCTCAAATCTGTGTGGAGGTTAACAGCACTCAGCATCAAAAATAAGATCCGGATTTTCAACTCCAATGTAAAGTCAGTCAGTGCTACTATACGGATCAGAGAGTTGGCGAGTCATAAAGAGCATCTCAAACAAACTTCAGACCTTCATTAACAGCCGTCTTCGCTCAATACTCAAGATCAGATGGCTGGCCAGAAAAGATCAGCAACAGGGATCTCTGGCAATGAGCGAATCAACCAACCAGGAACCGATTGTGAAACAAGCAGGAAGAAATGGAGATGGATTAGTCATACACTGAGGAGACCATCAAGTGACATCACTAGATAGGCCATTGTTCGAGTGGAACCCGACTGAATGAGAAGCGGCGAGTTGGTCCTCAGTGCAAGGGTGACTTGAAGGTCATATGAAGAGGCGATTAAAGCATGTGGTCAGACTTGGAGCCAGGTGAAAACTCTAGCAGAGAACCGAACGCAATGGAGGCGCGCGGCTGAAGCCCTATGTTCCTCTAAGAATTAAAGGAGGTAAAATAACAATAATAATTAACTCCAACATATGAGCATGAGTTGACATCAGTTAGATAACCACTGAAAATCAGGGAGTACTGGAAAACTGTTTCATCTTTGTGACTCTTTGCCACCACCAGGGTTCTAACCAAGGATCTACTAGTTACGCAAGGCGAATTTGTAAACCATTCAAGCCACTGGGATCCATGCAAATGATGCATGAATTCCAACTTCTGCCAATGCGCGATATATAGAGCGCATCATCCAGCTAGTGTGTCATCGTTTATTTGCATAGTCTATTCATCACACATACACCTTTCAGAATTTTAATGCCACTAAAAAACATCCACGTTATCAACAAAAATTATTTCCCAACCAATACAAGACATGAATTATTTATCGAAGAGAATACTCTTTGTCAATCAATGACTGACACCGAACTCAACCTGAATGTGAGGACATGCGACAAAAGTTTGCTTGAGTTTTTGACATTTGGTTAATTAGCAGTATATGTTAGAAGAAATCATTTAAATTTCCACCTTCATAATGAAAAATAATTTAGTAGCGAGTTTCCAATGGTAATGGGGCCACAAAATTCAGATATTTGCTACATTTTAATAAACTAAATATAATTTTTGCGAATACAAATTTGAGGGAATGTGCGAATAGGGGAAATAGACGACAATGGGGAGGGGGGTGAACTGTATACCTGATTATTCTTTGCATTTGCTTTGACATTGTTTACAGCGGCATTAGTACTCCGTCGAGTTCGTTTAGCAGGAGGTGAGATAGCAGTGGAGTTGACGTCATTTTCTTTCTGATGATCAGATTGCGCTTCTAAAAGCTGCATTCTGGTTTGAGAAAGATCTGTTTCTAACTGATTGATTTGAGCAGTAAGCTCTTGTACCTGAGGAGAAAAAAAAATGAAAAAAGCAACCGTGTTGTAATCATCGCTGACGATAACACCAGATAGAAACACAACAGACTTAGCAGATGCATGACATTATTGAATGACTTTCAAATACCAGTAGGTACACAATTGAGACAGGTAGTCAACGCAAATCTCTGAGGAGGACAATTAGTAGTTAAATGTATCAAAATTTATGAAGATATCCCAATAGCACATCATACTCAAAACTGATACTGTAAAATTTGAAGTTACCAAAAGACATTCTCCGGCAAACAGTTCACCTAGTCATACACTTAGGACAAGAAACTGCATTTGGTCACCTTAATGCGTGTTTATCAATTTACTGAGAGTAAAGTATGTCTGCCGTATACATAATTAAGTGTGCGTCGGTGGTAAAGCGTTTAGGACGCTCGCCGACCATTCACATGGTCCGGGAATCGATCCCCGGTCGACTCACTCCTTTACATCGCCAAGCAAGAAATAATCCTAGTAAAGAGGAAGGGTGGGCATGAGGCTAGCAACCCCATCCTGTAAAAATAAATACTGCTACAGAAACTTCAAGTCACTAGCTTGAAGCCCTATGTTCCACTGGGGAACGTGAAGGAAAAATATAAATATACATAGTCAAGTCCGTTAATGTACTTTGTAAAATTGTACACACACCCTACTACCCAAAGCAGAAAAGAAGAATATCAGTAGCTCTATCCTCAAGAGTCTTGTCAAGTCTGGACATGGTGCAAGCCTTCATGAATGCTTCACAGTGATACATGAAGTCCCCTAATTTCGTGTAAAAAAAGACTTCAAATGTGCCATTTCTTTTTGAGACCCGAGACCAAGGCTCTGAGTTTAAAAGCATTACAAACATTTCGTAATTGTATTTTTCATTATTACTGTTTATTGATAACACTGTATTTCTTATATAAGTTCCATGTTAACAATTTACTGGATTTTCAGTAGCTTTTGTCTATTTAGACTGACTGGATCATTTCCCACACTTACTATGCAACTTCAGCTTCCATTTTCAATCTCCACTTAGTCACCCCCCTTCTAGATTACACCTCACATTCATTTATTAATTTATTTAAACGCATAAAAAACTTGGTACAATATGGCACCAAGAAAGATGCGTCACACTACATTTGTTGTATGAGGGCTGAGATACTATCCGGGCGCCCAGACCGAAGCAGGTGGTTTTATTAAGGGACCAACCCCACCCCGAGCCTTTGACTTGGAGCCTAATCCGCAAGGCAGCAGAGCAGCGTCAGGAGCTGCATTCCCATGATTGACGGTGACCCATACGGGTTCATACGCCATTTGATCCGATTGGATTCTGGAACCCATGTACCCCGTGGTAACTGCTTTTAGCTCAACCGCTATCCAAACAACCTTCCTGACATGGTAGGACCTGCAGGGACATGAGTCCCAGTCAGTTTAGCTTGTTGGGTCACTGAGGTATTCAAGCCCGACCACCACGGCAAGGTAGCAGTTGTCGACCATTGTATAATACAAGTTCAGGAACACAATTTCTAAAATGTCACTGGCTTTATGAATTCTTTGTTAAGTATGAATATGACTGTTAATCTCTCGAAGATGATTCTTCGGAAATGAAATTGTCGTCATTGTTGCGTCTCGTTTTGCTTATGACAAGGTTATGTGGCAATTGGAACTCTACATTTTGTTTGCAAAGTGAGACCCAGATATGAACTATTTTTCAGTTCAACTATTTTCAGTTAGATATATACTTACGAGTTCAAAAATGCATCATACAAACGTTCACAATGTTTTTCAATATACTAATGTTTATAACTTTCGATTTGTTGTGAATGGTTACGTTTGCTAACCCTCACAGACCTAGTCAAACGTTATTTATATCCACTCATCCATATGGTGGATGCACTGTGCTTCGCTCAGTAAGTTTGAGAAGTGTGCAAAGTAAAGGAATTAAAATACCAGTAAGTACATTAGAAAACCATCCAACTTTTAGATCATGTGATTTGTGGAGATTTAGGCTAATTTAACTTTAATTATTAGATTTCGTCACGAACTAACACACCAATTAAAGAGATCATTGAAAGCAAGGGAGTACTGAATAGCTGTTTCATCCTGTTTGATGACACTCTTTGGCAATCCACGCCTATGACCCACCAGGGACTGCAGCCCGGAACCCCAAGGCTACGAGACCAAGCTCGTTGGTCAGCGAGCCAGTTTGGCTGGCATTCAGTGATACAGACTTCGCAAAAATGCGAATACCAAAAGACGAGTCACACAAGGATGGTAGGAGAGAACTGGGCAGGAAGAGAACTACGAAGAAAAAGGTAAGCAAACTTGTCAAGACATCCAAAAGAAGTCAAATCGAGATTACTTTTAGTTGAAGCCGTGCTCCTTTTCCATAGCTGAAAAGTAATCCATTATCCGCATGCTTTAGTTCTGCATTACACTCAAGACATTCACTTTATGATATAGGCCAGAGAATTTCACGAAAAACACGTAAATCAGTTTAAATTTTAAGAGGCGTAATCATTTTTCCATTTGTTGGTCTACACTCTGAGTAGGACTGGACACAGAATTATCCACGTCATGTTCAGACAACTCTACAAGAAAAGAAACAAGAGAAAAGTATGGAGATTGAAATGAAGGCAATAACTTACCCGAGAAGTTGAATCACAGGCGACTTCTCTTTCTCGAGTAACTTCGTCAGACAACTGTTGAACACATTGTTGAGCATTAGCAAGTTCTGCCTCCAACTAAACATAAGAACACGATTACTAATTAATTAATATGATACAGAAATAAGGCAGTGATAATATGAGATGCTCGCTAGTGACTTGTTACAGAACGGAGTTTCCTGGAGTTCTAGTGAGAAGTCGTGACCAGTGAGGTCCATCCAATCAAGTGTGAGGATGGAGTTCCCACCGATGACACTGGTTGGTGCCAGTCGCGCGAAATCACGAATTAATACAAGTCAGAATTGAGGTACTGGTTAATAAATCGGGCCCCAGTGGCTGAATGGCCTGCGAGCTTGACTTGTAACCGGAAGATCCCGAGTTCGAACCCCAATGGGTGCATACTTACGAGGATTCCCAAACCAGGATGAAACAGCTGTCCAGTACTCCAGTGCTGGTTTTCAATGGTTCTCTAACTGATATCAGTCAGTGGTCAAACTCGTATACACAAATATGAGAGCGACAAGAAGAATAACCACTCAAGCAGTACACAAACAAAAAACATCATTACTAGCCAATTATGTACGACCGTGGTTCATCCCTAGGTCGCCATGCATGACAATACTGGATAGTAATCAAATAAGCTGAAAGCATGTAAGAGATACTTTGTAATGCTACAAGACGACCCAAACTTCGCCAAGAACTGCAAGGAATCAAACCCTTAACTGGTGATAAAAGAAGTATGTTGATTGAATTGGTACAACCTCATTTATAATGCGACAGAGTAGAAAAGTTACATGCTGTCTTCTGGGGAAACTACAATAAACAGAAGTGTACAAGAGACAACAGTTTCATGCAAAATTGAGGATTTTAACTGACCTCGAAGGTCAGAGGAATGATTAATCTGAGCCATTGAGTGAGCCATATCACTAAAATCTTCCCAGTCATTGATTCTCAGGATTTCAGGAACTCCAGCCTAACATTCTACACTTCCTTATATAGCTTAAACCGACAATTAAGTACATCATGGATTAATTTCACGTTTTCATTTGACCACTGACGTTAACTCTTTTCCAACACAGAGTTCTATTTTAGTTAACATTGTTCCACGAGGAAAGTGATGACTTGGCATATGTCACATGCGTCCTAGCCTTCTCAATCCATGAAACTTATCTGAATTAAAGCTAAATCTAGCGCCTGAAAAAACAAAAGGAAGGACAAAGCGACCTGCTGTGCAAAGTAGCACAAGTCGTTTAATGAGTGAGTAGCTAAGAATCAGGCCTTCACCATTACATGACGAAAGTTGGCAAAAGGATAAATGACAAACAATAATCGAGGACGTATGTTTACATATAACAATATATATATATATATATATATATATATATATATATATATATATATATATATATATATATATATATATATATATGACCAACTTCATTTGTAACTAACCTGAGACTTAACATTTTCTTTTTCCTCTTTCGATCTAGCAGCTTCCTCCATTAAATTTTTACAGCGCTCCTCCAGTGAAGAAAGTTTAGTTTCCAACTGTCAAAGTTAGAAAAAAAATTAGCATGAAATACGGATTAAACATAACATAATATGTCTCGATGTTTTAGTCATTAGACCTGTCGTAAAACTAGTGACTGATTGACTGGTTTCAACATAGAACTTTCCACAGATGTGAAACAGTTCCAGTTGACAAACTCTCTCTCCAACTACCACACAAACCAACAGAACACAGTAAACAGAGATTCAAAACACACATAGATAATAAACAGAAGTGTGAGCGAGCGAGTGAGGGAAAAAGAATAGTAAGTAATGTGGAAGAAGAACAACAGAGTTTTATTGCATATGACAAATCACAATGAGTGAATGCATCTGTGCTAGCCATTGACAACGACAAGTCTGAACCATAACACCATCAATCGCCTACACCTCCCTACCACCCTACCTCCCGGCCGATAACTGCTACCTTGCCGTGGTGGTCGGGCTTGAGTACCTCAGTGACCCAACAAGCTAAACTGGCTGGGACTCATGTCCCTGCAGGTCCTACCATGTCAGGAAGGTTGTTTGGATAGCGGTTAAGCTAAAAGCAGTTACCATGGGGTACATGGGTTCCAGAATCCAATCGGATCAAATGGCGTATGAACCCGTATGGGTCACCGTCAACCATGGGAATGCAGCTCCTGACGCTGCTCCGCTGCCTTGCGGATTAGGCTCCAAGTCAAAGGCCCGGGGTGGGGTTGGTCCCCTAATAAAACCACCTGCTTCGGTCTGGGCGCCCGGATAGTATCTCAGCCATCACACAATCAATTGAATGAAGCAACAAACAATCAATGAAACTTATCGCGTGCTATTACACGTGTTGCAATTTCCTTCTTTCTTCCCTTTCCGATGATAGTTAACGAATACTGCTTGAACTTGTTAAGCATGACTGTTTTCCTTCCAGATGAAGTTCTTTATTCGTTCTCTACTTATATATATATATATATATATATTCTCTTCCTTCTTTTTTTTTATCTATGTTGTTTTATTATTATTGTGTGGCGCATCTTTCTTGGTGCCATATTGTACCAAGTGTTTACGCGTTCAAATAAATAAATAATACGTGGCTGGCTGACTCAAATTAACTGCTATGAATTTCATGGACTGATGAAGATATGTTGGTTCTGGTTTGACCACCACTAGGTCTTTTCCAACCTCACGGATTTCATGTCATTTAACATTTCCCGTCGAGGATCGCGATGGTTAGGCACAGAATATCGTAACTGTCTCAATCGACGTAACTTCACAACCTCGTCAATTGATTTTCCCTCCTTACCTAGCACTCAACGGAGGCTTAACCTCAATATTGCTTACCATATTAAACCATTTAACACAAGAGACAGAATGCAGATACCTATGACAAAAGACAGCTAGCCTTTTGATGTTCTCCACATTCAACGACCATGTCTGCCTCACAGTCAGCCATAAAGGAGATGGAGCGAACTGCTGAGTAGCACACACGTCATTTAGTCGACAACCAGCCGGATATCACGTTTAGTGAGTCAGAGATGGCGACAGTTAGCTAATTCCAAATGAGCCTTCTTTATCCATGCTGAAATTCCGTCAGTGATCGACCCACTGCTGTTGGCTAATGCAACTCCATATCTTCAAACTATTAGTCGATTTAGTCCATTCCTATAAGCATCATCTTACTTGAATTTGACAGGAACGGGTGAATCACATGCTTAACATTCGAAGATCGCTGCCTCTCAAGGTGTTCACAGAAGACTCTGCATTTTGTCAGCGTCTTCACCTAGGAGGACTAGTCCACATTTACGAGTGTGATATTGGCTAACTACGAAAACTCCACTCTCTGTCAAAAATGTATTCGTGAATGATTACCCTACACTACACCACTTGGGTGGCAAAACAAAGTGAAGTAATATTCTAACATAATAACGCAATATATGCATATGTATGAAGTTGACAAAAAACAGCAATGATGACTGTGACTAAATGACCAAATTAGTTTTCTGTTCAAGAAATCGATGAGACGAGTTTTCCACCACGACTCATTTCACACACTAAAACACGTGCACAATAATCGATAATTATTTGCATGAACAAAACCGCATAAGACCGCACACATCCACTTAGCCTACATCATACCAGAAAAAGATTATCTCATGGGTAAATAGCGTCACGAAAAGCATTTCCAACAGACTACTGCAGACTTCTATCAACAGCTGCCACCTTTGCTGGCTCCATAATGAAAATCAAATGGTCAGATAGGAAGAATTAGCAACAAGAAAGTGTGGGAACAAACTAGCCAAGAACCTCTAATTCAACAAATATGCAGGAAATGGAGATAGACTGGGCACACTGTGAGATCGTCGAATGACATCCCCCGCCAGACAAACCCTCGAGAGTAACCCGAATGGGAAACGACGAGTGGTAACTCCACTCCTACTGCCTTGTAGGTCACACTTGGCTGTGTAAAGGCTAGAGCTGCACTCTCAAACAAAAGGCCGAGCGATGCTGGGGACATCACTCGTACCAAATTCCCATGAAACTTCATGAACTCTCTTACAAATTGCCGCGCCTGGGCAGCGATGATTCGAGACGTTCATGAAGCCGGCTCATCCTCCCGTAGGAGATAGCCGAAGTAAAGTAAGTAAGTAAGTAAGTGGTAACATGGAGGGGACCATGCGACGGGGAGATAAAGGATTATGAGAAATTGTGGACCCAGTTAAAGAGGAAAGCAGAAAATAGAACAAAGCGGAGGTGTTGCTGAAGCCTCATGTTCCACTTGATAATAACATGTACAAAAAATAATAGTTGGTACAATAAAGGCTAATGTCAGTCAGTTAAAAAAGATACAACTTTTGAATAATATTTACCTCAGCTACAATATCCAGATCAGTCGACTGCTGTTTATCCTCCGTACTTGAACGATTTTGACAATGAGGACACGGTGCTTTCTCATCAGTAATACCGTTTTCACATGGTTCTGTGGGTTTTAAATCAATTTCATAGACATGACATTCAGAATAATTAGCATTAACAACTAAATGTATGTACATATATGGATATTTATTAGATAAGTTGAACAACAAATCATTACATCTTTGGCATCAACATTGTTGAACTTTTGAACTGAGGTGCTAACAAACTACTCCAATTGCTGCACGATATATCAGATAAAGTGTGTGGTCACTTGTACGATACAGTTGATCAGTCTGGGTTAAAAGAAGTACCCAAGCATACAGTCAACAAAACTAGGAGAATCCTTAGAGTAAAATGACTAGTTCACTTATGCTTTTAATAGCCTTCTTTATGAATCTTCAAGGCAAGGTAACAGCTATAAACATATTTTCAACTCCGCTTCGCGCTAACACGGATGGATAAAGATTGCCAACATAACATAACGACGATTGTGATGGTTAAAAATTGTCTGACATAAAAACTACGATGCTTTGTAAGCTTTCTTAACGAAATTTGGCGAACATTGGAAACGGGAAACTTCAATACAAACGATAAAATTTGAAGAACTCAGCCGGGTGAAACATATATCTTTTGATTTTTTTTATTCACAGCTTGACTCCACATTGTATGGTACAAGTATGGAATTTTCAGAATGGATATCGGTAGCCCAAATTTTGCTGGTCGACCATAGGTATCAGGTGTGAGTCGGCAGGGGATCGAACCTCGGACCATGTGTATGGTAGGCGAGAGTCCTAACCACTGTGCCACCGACGCACAAATAGCTCAAATAGCCGGATAGGAGTCTAATTCATTAGGCGAGGAGTGGAGTAGGATTCGATCCCAAGACTTAGTGATTAAAAGTCGACAGTTAAAGTCAGTCAGTAGGTCACATGGACCTTGTATGCCACCATACTGTCCCCCTAATCCTCAGGTCATATACGTGGTATCTAAGTATGTTTTCCATCTTTCCTAACTACCACAGTCTTAACTTCCTCTCTCAGAAGCGTAGTAAAGTATTACCGCTTAAATTATTGGATTTTGAAGAACTGACTTTATTCCACAGTTTCGTGTCTACAATGTATAGAGCCCACTTTTTCTGGGTTCAAGGTTATAAGGTTAAACCACATGTTTATAATACTTCTAGGCTTTCGAGAAGCCAGTGAGATACGTTTAAGTTTAGCTACTTACACTGCATATTTCAATTAGTGTATTGAAAACAAAACAAAAATAATAGTAGTCATTAAAAATTCAAAGTACCTTCAGTGGAATGACTCCGCAAAATTTCTTCACACCGTTTTGTTAACTCAGCAATCAATCTATCCTTGGAAATCATTTTATTTCTTGAATCATTCAACTGAGATGATAAGAATTTATTAGTAGTTTGTAAACTTATTAAATCAGAGTTCCATCGTTCAACTTCAGCTCCGCCACGAACAGCTCTACAGCGAACCGACTCCAACTCTTTTGTGGTACCCTCCAACTGACCACGTATAGCTGCAAGTTGATTTGTGAGCTCAACGCAAAGACGTTCTTTTGTCTTAAACTAAAATAGAAGTATTGAAAGAGTTATGACGTCTTATAGTTAAAAATTGATAAATAATAAATAGGATTCCAATGAGGTTCCAACCCTACTAACACGCTTCTAGCCACAAGTACGTTGTCAAATATTCTTCTCTAAAGGCAACACTCAGCTTTACTGTACCTGCACTCCACAACGAGTGATTTACCATTCCTCCTTTACATTATGGAGACGGAATTAAGATTAAAACTGATGACTCCAATAAGAGTCGAACAGGCAGAGCATCAAGGTACAACATTACATCACTGTGTAGTAAAACAAGTTACTATTCTAGTGTATCTGTACATCAAGGAAACAAAACATGACCCAGACACTACAAATCACTTCAACTGACCTTCTCACCTCACCCAGAAACCTTCGTCTACTTGACTTATGCATTTAATTCAACTCGAACTTTCCCGTTGGTTGATTACACCGAAGTGCTCGGCCTCTGATTCACATGTCGTCTCCCTGTGAAGATGCTTCGACGATGTCTGATTATTTTTTTGCTAGTGGCTTGAAAGTTCGGTAGCAGTGTTTATTTTACAGGATGGGGTTGCTGGCCTCATGCTCAACCTTTCCTCTTCACTTGCATTACTTCTGGCTTAGCGAGGTTAAGGAGTGCGTCTGATTATTTAGATTGAAGTAAATTGATGGATTGTGATGAATAGCAGTAGAATCCAGGGTGCGCATTTCGTTGTATCTACGTCTCATCAACTGGATGTACCTGCATTACCCAGTGAGTGATGGTGTTACCACTTAGGTTAGAACCCAGTTCCAAACGCCAAAGATACATTCAACTGACGGGTGCCGAACGGGACGAAGCGAGCATCCTGGATTCCATTGTTAGTCACCATCCACCAATTGATTTATGCACTCCCCAAGTACCATTTCTACAGAATGCATGAATATACTACAAAGGTACTAACGCTTAAATACTAGTATGTGTACATCTTTTACTCGTGGTCACGTTATAAGACGACGTTCCGGGAATCAATTGTTTTCAGGATTGCGAGTTGACCTGATGAGAAGATTCTACTTGAATGTGTTTAATGCCCGGACTTGCTTTACTATCCAATTGTCATAAAGGAGACTGGTGAAGGAATCTGTCCCTTAGAAGTGAAATAACCAACGAAATGACTGCTAATAAATGTACTGTACAAAAGACTTAACAGCATTGTTCTGTCCATTTGAAATAAAGAGATATACAACGCTTACTTGAGAATAATGACTTCAGAACTACTAACTGTCAATAAATCGACTCAACACATGATTATCAAAACTTGTTAAAATTAAAACATAAGGATGAAATACAACCACTTTAAGGTATCACTGCAAACTTTTCAACAAAAACTGTTAGTTAATATACACAATGCAACTTTAACATACCTCAGCAGACATTTTATCCACTTGTGCAGATTTAGCATCAAATCTTGATCTCAGATCAAATAGTTCTGACCTCTTGGCCTCATTATCCATTCGTAATTGATTTACAGCGCCCTGAAGCTCAACGATTTTATTTCTGTCAGAAGGATCACTTTGAGGAATAACCTTTGAAAAGTATAATTAGTAAATAAGAGGTTAAACAATTTTTTCCTCATATATAGTACATTTACATATAACATGCATAATGCATACTGGAATGAACTATACTTATCTGCACAGGTATATCTAAAGATCTGTCACCGAAAATGAAATAGTTATAAGAGCTCACTAAGACACTACACAGCACGTATGTTTGGAATGCGATTGGCCCCTACAAAATGTAAGATGCTGCTACAGGACTGGACTACGTCAACTCCTAGCTTAGTGATAGGGAGTGAAGTGATAGAACATGTTGACCACTTCACCTATTTGGGAAGTTGTATCAGCACAAACGGACTGATTGGCGACGAAATCTCAGCACGGATCCAAAAAGCTCGAGCTGCTTTCGCCAACTTACACCATCTCTGGCGTAGGCGCGACATCCGGCTATCAACCAAGGGACGTGTGTACTGCTCAGCAGTTCGCTGCGTCCTTCTCTATGGCTCTGAAACATGGCCAGTACGAGTTGAAGACATGAAAAAGTTGACTGTTTTTGATCAGAGATGTCTACGATCTCTTTCTCATGTTAGGTGGTATAGTAAGGTAAGTAATGTTGACGTTAGGCGTAGTGTTGGGCAGGCAAAGAGGGAAAATCAATCGACGAGGCTATAAAGTTACATAGATTGAGATGGCTAGGTCACGTGCTGCGCATGCCTAACCATCGCCTCCCCCGACGAGCATTACTAGCTGATATAGGTGCAGGTTGGAAAAGAGTAAGTGGTGGCCAAACAAAAACATGGCCTCATCAATCCATGAAATCCTTGACAGTTAAACTGAGTCAGGTAGGGAGATGCAGACTTCCGGGTTGGGGCCCTCGGGACTCTAGGAATCAATGGCTGGAGACAATAGGTGACATGGCTCAAAATCGTTGTCAATGGCCAGCGCAGATGTGTTCAGTCTCTGTAATCTTTCATATTCCTTTCTACGATTACCCATTCTGTTTCACTCTTATACTTGTCAGACTGTATTGATTCTCTTCACTCATCTTCTTGTCTACCTTTGTGTGATATATGGAACGTGGCAACTCGAACTGGTGCACTTCGGTGACAAGTTCTATGTTGAATCAGAGAGACACAGACACAGTAAGTAAAGTTGGTTTGCCCCACAGAGACAATATCTGATTCATTTTGATCCAACAAGTAGATTTTTGTAAGCAAATTTAAAAATAAGAGACCCTTTTTCTAATCACTCGATGTTAGTTAATTAAAATACAATTATTGTCTGACCGTTGATGTGATAACACCGACTTCCAAACCCATGACCCCTGAACCAATGAGCACCCACCACCACCTACAACAACAACTTCAGCTGTAGTTGGGACGAAAATCCTGTTTCAATCGACTATCTCCTCAAAATTAAACCGGATTCCAATGGCCGAAACTTAAACATCAATCAATGCTAAGCGAATAACATTCAAATAACTATTCATCACTTTACCCAAAACCGAATAGCTTTCAATGCTGTGGTGCAAACTACCAATCACATTCAGATAACTAAGTTATCATGAGATGAAGTCATGCGAAGGAAAATGGAATTAATTACACATCAAAGTAAAAATCGGTTAAAATTAGGAATAAAATACTTACTGGTTTAGGAGGAGTTGCGATAGCCGCTTCTTCTAACCTCTTAATGCGTTGTTTGAGCTCTTGATTTTCTTTCTCCATAGCCTCTAAGTCAGCTTCAGTTCGTTTGCGACGTTGATACTCTCGATCTCGTTTACTTCGTAAACGTTCAATTTCAGCGTCTAATTCAAGAGGACCTACCCCACGACGAGCTAAGTCTTCACGAGCTGTTGCCAACTCGCGTTTTAATATACTGATTTGAGCTGTAAGACTTGAACGTTCAACATCAGCAGCTTCAAGTTTTGAAGCCTTTTTGGATATTTCCTGTAATAAAATGAATTGTTAAATCAAACCAATTGCTCTCACATACATATCACACATTAAATTTGACTGTATCCACAGTTAAACACCATTATTTAAAGGGTAACCAGCCAGAGCGGCTCTTTTTTTCTCACTGAATATTAACAAGATAATGAGAATTCTTTTGATAAACAATTATGAAATGATAAGAAATATGGAATTCACTGACCTCATGTATGCGTAGAATAACATCTTCCCGATAAGTTAAAAGATGATTGAGTTCGTTAACCTGACTTTCCAGCTCCATAACCTTAGCGCGTAAGGTAGCTGGATCAGTTTTCGAAAGACGTTCCAAATCGTTCTCCAACTTTTTCTCATCAGCAATCCACGGAGGTAGTGTTGGACCAATAAGACGAGAGCCGAGCTAAAAAGTGAAATAAAAGTGTTAGTTTACTTTTTTCTTATTGATGACACATACATACTAACCATACTCAGATCCATTAATACACCACGAAGTGACAGCTGCAAAACTGACCTTGAAGACAACATGGACACTGTCATTCTTATATCATCTAAAAATACATCAACAAGCCCTAACCGGTGTCGTCTTCCTGGCAAAGAGATTTCAAGTGTTAAAGTGAATTATCTATAAAAACTTTCATGTGGATAAATGTTTTGACTTTCCGTGGGAGCTGGCTGGTGAACGAAGCAACAGAACTCTCCTCCTCTCTTCGGGGAATTTTCGAGTGAAAATCTTTAATCTAGGCTACCTGGATCTATCACTTACTCTCCACATACTTAAGGCATACACAATTACTTCATAATACAAAACAAATAATTTAATTTGCTTACCATACCACCAGTATACCTCCTGTCGTTGTGAGCCATTTCTTTGATACGTGCCTCCAGCGTTGCGCATTTTTCTCCTAACTTCTCATATTCCTCCAATTGTTGATCCAACTGAGAATAGGTAAATATAGTAAAAAAACAAAAACCGAGTACTTCGAGTAGTTTGAGTAACTCGCAAAATGGTGTACCTACTAACAGTTACTAAGAAAACAACTTGTTCATGTATTGATTTCAAATACAAAACTTCATGCAGTATAGAGACCACAAAACAATAACAAAACATATATATATATATATATATATATATATATATATATGCGTCAAACTTTGAGGTGCGAGACAGGAATACGCTAGATCACCAATAAGAAGACTCTAGAAGATGTGGATTTCGCAGATGATATGTATTTAATGTCACACGAACTCGAAATCTAACGGGTGAAAACCAACAAACTGGCTGAAGAGACAGCGAAGACAGGACTACAGGTGAACATAGAGAAGACGAAGGTGATGAAGATAGCCAACGAACCGCAACAACAACAACAACCAGCACCGATCACCATCAAAAGGAGAGATTTGACAGAGATTACCTCCACTTATCTGGCCAGGAGGCATCATTTCAGCTACATGCGGAACGGATGAAGATGTCAAAGCCAGCCAGGATCGGAAAGGTAAGATACACCTTCATCGACCTGAAAGCTACTTGGAAATCTGCACTAACTAAGCATAAATAACAAGATTCGCGTTTTCAACACCAATGTGAAGTCGGTCATTGCCTCTATACGGGTCAGAAACTTGGCGAGCATGTCACGGAAAGGATTTCCAACAGGTTGCGGATTTCCATCAACAGCTGCCACCTTCGCTGGCCCCATAGTGAAGATCAAATGGTCAGAAAGAATTAGTAACAAGAAACTGTGGGAACAAACCAACCAGGGGTCGATCGTTCAACAAATATGTAAGAGAATGGAGCCGGATCGGGCATAAATTGAGGAGACTGTCAAATGACATCTAGGCGCTTCAGTGGAATCCAAATGGGAAGCAGTGTGTCGTCCTAGGGTGACATGGAGGAAACCGTATGAGGAAGAGATGATATTATGGGAAATCATGGACAGATGAAAGAAAATAGAGCAAAGTGAAGATGTGTTGTTGAAGCCCTATGTCCCTTTTAGAAGCCAAGGGAACAATAATAATAATAACAATAATAAAAATGGGGAATGAATAAAGGACCTATTCCAGAATGGATTCCATTCCATCCCATGGTTGGAGAACAGAGACCGGTATAAGTGCCTCTAGGATGACATTGATAGCACATGCCAAACCCACCAAAGCCAGTGTTCCCCGATGATGACACCCAATCAATGGTGCCGGAACTTAATTCCCCACACGATTATGCTATCAAACGGAAGCAATCCTACAAAGGCAGTGATGACGGAGTAAACAAAGTTGCAGCACATCCGCAGCTGAGAGAGGTGAGGTTTCACAGACTGCGCGCATAGAAGCATTATACACCCGAATTTTGATAGCCAGACTAACATCGTGACGGCATCAAAGGTGGCTCAAATTGGTATATGCCACCCTAGCTTTCACTATACAGTTAGAAATCTCGTTCGCCACACCTTGACTAGCACTCACACACATCTACCCAGATACATGGACATATAGACAATTTCAAATGTTCACCTGCAAGAGTGAGTGTAGTTACGTGCTCCTACCTATCTTGTAACATTATTTTGCGCATATTCAAAAGATGTTATAACGGAATTACTTTTCTATCCACCCATCCATCCATCCAACAAACTTTTAAATATGGAAAAAAATCACAGTTAATGTTTAACTGACAAAGTATACTAATTGTATGAGTTAGGAGAGCAATATATACGGCCATCGAGTGCTACATAAAACCTCACTGTTTAAAAGTATATCTTAACAGCCATGTCACGTGTTAGTCTGTGGAGGCTTGTGTGAAATTTTAGTGGGTGATAGACAATCTGAGAGTCAAGGGTTAAATCTAACGAGATATTTCCGAAACAAATGTACAACGTAACTCAACAGACAACACAATGGTAATAAACGATAGAAAATGACTTCATTATGAAATCATAGCTGAAGAAAGTGAAGCCTTCGCAATTTTCTTAATAATCATTCAACTCAAAGAACATAAAAGTAAACCAAAATATTTATCCGACTGAGTTGCAAGTCTAACCTCTTCCAATCATCTCTAAGTGAATTGTATGCGCACACAAAACATACCTGCATTTGCAGTTTCTTTTTATCATCGCATAGCTCTTCAATCTTCTGTTCTAATCCGCTTTTAATTTCCTTAAGTTCCGCAATACGATTTTCAGATTTAGCCTGTTCAGATTTGAAATAATCATTAGCAGCAGCTAATCCACTCTCACTAGTTGTTTCAGAGCTATAAAAGTAATAATATTAATGATGATCAACTAAAAAAAGAATCCTACCGTTCATTGACCAAATTGTCAAAAAGTTCTTGTAATGCCTTCAAACGCTCTTTCAAATCATCGGCATCTTCACCTCTAATTATAGCTGCATTTAATTCAGTTTCTAGATTAGAGGTTTTATGTAATAAATTATCTCGCTCCTCTGTGACATTTCGTAAGCGTTCTTCAATTTCTTTCGTAAAATTGCTTTGTTTTACAATAACACTATCCTTAATCTAAAGGAATAAGCAGAATGTATGTTTAATAATTGACTAGCGCTTACTTTTATTAAACCAGAGGCTTCATCTGCACGTCGTTCAGCATCGGCTAATTTAGCTTCACAACTTTCTAATGTCATACGTACGCGTTCACAATGAGCTTGAGAATCTGCTAACTCCTGTTTTGTAGCATCAAATGCTTTAAGGCGTCCTTCTAAGTCAGCAATCTGCAAACGACAATCCATAACCTTTTTCTTCTCATCCCTATTTTGATTGACAAGACTTCGATTGCTTAACTGCAAACTTGAAATATCAATCTTCAATTTTTTATTCTCCTCATTAAGCACCCTAAAAAGTCGGTAAGAAACAATGCTAGTCACAAATATCTAAGCAGCTAGGAAAAATTAACTTCCATGGGAAATATCAAAGCGTGGTGTGTATGTGTAAGACAGAGAACAAGAGATTACTATTTAGTTAGTAATCATAATGAATTGTCCAGGATGTGGGGTTGAGTTCACATATGTTGATGAAATACACTAACCTGAACTAAACGGAACACTCATTTACATACCCATATTGCTCCTCGTAATTGATCTCCTCCGCTACAACAGTTTCTTCAGTCATTCTGAAAGAGAAAACAAACATCATCAGTAATCAGAACGAAATTATAATACAGAAAGTGTACACTAGGGATAAATGAGATTCACTTTGTAATTGCATTCTATTCGTAAAACTTGAGCAGATAAGCAAAAGTTAGTGTTTTGATTGATACATACATTGGCTCCCAGGTTTTTTAGCATTATCCTCTTAGACATCAGCGTTTCAGTGAGTTTTATGCATTCCTCTGTGAATTACACTTTCGCGACTAAACCACCAGAGTTCAGAGAAAACAAACACATCATGAAAGATACACCTTAGCTTTCCCTTCAATTTTTTTTCAATATGCATTTGCCTACATGAGTTAGAAGTAAACAAGATTATTGATATGATCGGTTAACTACTTAATCATTTTCCACTTGCGACTGCTACAAAAGGACAGACAAACACTCCAATTCAACAACTAGTTATCCTCATATGGAGCGTATTACAGAAAACCACAGCCTCGAACACAACTAAATACTAGGATGATTGAGTTGCTACATAGAAGTTTGCACAGTAGTGCAACAGTTCAGGTTGTCCCAATCAATGTAGCACCCAAGGGCAGACAAATGAAATTCAAAAAAAACTATGATAAGTAGAAATGAGAGGAAGAAAGAGCAGTAACACGGAAAAACATGACGGGCTAGTGGATATGGGAGACTACATGTGCCACCAACAGTCTCCAGCTATTATTATTGGTTCTTTGCATTTAGAGGATCCCAGCCAAGGGGCCTACACCTCCCTACATGGCTGGTACAAAAACACCATTGACCTTTTCCAACCTAATCCTGTTAGTCAACATTGCCAGTCGAGGAAGGTGATGACTGAGCATGAGCAACACGTGTTCTAGCCACCTCAGCCGATTCATCATTTCACTGACTGATTTACCGTCTTTACTTAACATTCTACGACTAACCTTAATACTACTGACCATATTGTACCAATTAACATAAGAGACAGAAGGCAAACATGTGATCAAAGACCAAATGCTAGGTAACACCAACAGATAAGCACACTAGATGTGGCTTATTCCCAACTGCATAGAAATGAAAGTGGATGCCAAGTGATACTGTTTGTGACCCTTATGAGACGTATTGTATAGTTTTGAGGCCCCACATGACTGAGTACAGTTCAAACGGGTGTCTACTGTATTCACATATCAAACTGAAGAAACAAAACGTTCATGTTAAGAAAAATAACCTTATAATTCCAATAATTTTCTCTCTTCATTTAAGGGTGATATACAACTTCCGTCAGAGGTATGATCATAGCAACACCCCTTCTCATAATATTTAGCGGTAGATTTTAATTACATGTATGAGATTTGCTGTTTTCATTGTATTGCTTACAACATAGGTGTTGGATGAATGCAATGAAGACTTGTAGGAAATGTAGGACACTATACAAACTGAGATGACTGCAATGTATTACGCATGTCTTGTAAACGTTCACGCGATGATGTTACAAAACTACTTGCAATTCCATACAGTTGGAAATAAGTCACACTCGGCTGCCAAAACTTAGACATATGGAGTGGAATTCGACCTCCTGATCCATTGATAGGAAATCAAACACGTAAAACAATGACAGCTGCAGTTCAAAAGGATTCGTAGAAAGCTAAGTGTGGTCAGACCGAAACATGAGTTATGACTGGCATATGGCTTTTTAGACTGCCTAAAGAGTTTCCAGCATACTGAGTGATGACTGAAATGGCTCAAAATTCACAATGACGCCAGAGCACCCACCTATACTCGACAGGGACTTATCTATCTAAAGCCATATCAACCAAGCCTTCTTATCGTTATGCAGTCTAGTGCTATTATTCGACCTGACGTACTCATGGGCAGATTTTTATGCTGCAACACTATTCAGTTGTCAAAGATAACTGGGCTCCAGAAGTTAGCTGGTGTTCACCATCAGGATCAAATCAGAAAATTTCACCCCGTAACAAACAGCACACGGCACCGTTAAATAACTTTAGAAGCAATATATGTAATTACATTCGGTTCACTGTTCAGTTGCACTGAATAATGCTCATGTAAACCTACACACTGAGTATATACACTTAATCACAGTTGGTCTTACAAATTGCAAGCCTGACTCAAGAAGTACTCATACGTGTAACACGAGTTGCCTATGTTTATTCTCGGCATTAAACATCAGAACCACTTGGTTTTAACTTTTCCAAACTGCAATCATCCTATTTTCGACGGTTTAAACAAGTGTAATGTGGCTGACGCATCACATAGCCGTGACTCGATAGACTTCTTAATATACCAAAGAAAACAGTTTGGTTATTCAGACTACATAGTCGGAAAATAAACACACTAAGACAAACATAAATTTAAAACATTTTATCGTCTTAAACAACTAATGTCAGACTGAAGACATTGCACAAACAAGGGGTCAAATGGAAAGAATACCATTTTAGCATTATTCTAGCGTATCACATGTTGCCAATGTACTGACATAACGAACAAGAGGAAGTAGGCACGGTATATGTATGTATATATATAATGTAATAATTTCAGTGCCAGGGAGAGCTTTCGAAAACTTAAGGATGCATTTCGACTGATCTACGCAGTGTCAGGCTTCACCCAAAACACTGTTTACAAGCGGCTATTCTCCGCTTGAAGAAAGCGAGAGTCTCAGGAGTACAAATGGTGAGGACCCAAATAGTCAGTGGTATCTTCCGCCTTCCCTGAGGGAAGAGGATGTAGCATTTTAATCTCCCCACTCTTTACTAAGTTAAGGATAGGAGAATCAACCTCACCATACCCTAGATTAAAAATTGATCTAGGAACTGACCTCCCTTAGCTTTTCCCTTGTTTCAGGATACCTTTGTAAGATAACCACGAAACGCTACTCAAATCGAGGAAGAATTAAGTGTGCAATTTGGATTCTTACATAGGGCACAACCATTGCAATTCCATAAGTGATATAATAGTGTCAGACGCTTAGACGCTTTCCAAAAGAAATTAGATCACCACAGAGATATATACTACAATGACTAACACGGGATACAAGAGCCAGTAAACCACTACCTGAATCTGGGCTGTTTAACACTGACAAATACCCTTCGTTTCAAAACTTAAGATACAGCAGTTGAGACACTGACGGAAGTGCATATTTGTTTATAAAACGTACTTTAGAACAGAAATCCTCCTCTAAGGAAATATAAGCAAACAGCCTGGAAATTAGAAACCGAAATCCTGAAGTTTAACCTACCCACGTTGTGTTGCAAACTACCAGAGCAGTAAAACAAAATTGATTCCCTATTGTTTAGTTTCAAATGTAATCAATACTAGGGCATATTTGTTCATTTCAGGAGAATCAGATGACGTGTAGGTGGAAGGAAAGTAACTTCGTTGATATTACTGAATCGAAATATACAATTTTTGGCAGTGTGCACCCAATATCTAAACACATTGTCCAGCCTTAATTCAAACACGTAGTGCTCATATGAAACCTATATGCAACGAGTGAACATTCTGTAGAGAAAATCTGATCATTATTAACTGTGTTTACGCACACCGTACACAAAAAAACGGTAGTTGTAATTAATATTATTTGACTGTTAAAATATGAAATTCGATCCTTAGTACCAAGCTGAAAATTCCAATTTTCATCTTCAGCATTGCTTGGAATAAGGCCAATTTTATTTTTTATTTTATTTATTTGACCCCTAACTTCATGCTATTTCAGAAGCCACTGTGAAAGTAAGGGATAAAATATTAATGTCTAGCGCTAGGTTTCACTCATTGGTTTCATCGCACTTAAAAATAGATATGGAGTAATAATAATAATAATGTATATTCTCATATAAACATGTAAATTTACATGAAAATGCATGCCATTTTTACAGGCACGATCAAGTATGATATAATATCAAATCGTAGATTGTCTACAAGTTAATAATGTTTCAACAGTTAAATATTTGATATATATATAAATACACTCATTGTCTGAACTAGGCTGTATAGTTATTGAATTGTACAATTGTCCTCCAGGTTGAGCGGGAAAATCGACTTCGTTTCGTTTTCATCCCGTGGTTGTCGGCATACGATAACCAACCAATATTGAGGTAAGTACAACGTTTACAACGGATTGAAAGCTGTTTTAGAAAAGTAGAAGTGCTAAGGTGAATCAATAAAGTGTAATGGAATGAGTAAGTGCAAGTATCATTAATAAATGCATTAATAAAGGAAACTCCCTAGGCTGACAACGTTCATTTGCAATGTATAATGCTTCCTGTACAGTTTCCACTATCATGATGTCCACTTTTGGTTTTAATACATTTATCCTCAGTTGTGCCAGTTGTTTTTGTTTTATACCTTTTTGTGCATTTAGTGTACAACCGTACCCTTCAGAGAGTAGGAATATAATAAGTCATAAAGAGCTGTAAAATGTTAGGTTTAATGGGATATAATGAGGATCAAGTAAAGACGTTATTGGAAAATGAATGAGATAAGACATTGTGAAGTGGTATTTAAAGATCAGACAATGGACAGAAAGTTAGTTTATAAGATGCCCCATAAATCTGTGCAGAGCCCATGTGGTCGCATCTCAACAATAGGCTGAGCAAATGGTATATATTTAAAGGTAGAAGCATGATCTGTCAAGGCGTTCATTATTATCTTTTTCAAGATAAAGATCTAAGCCCTCATAAAAATCAGAAATATCTCGAGCCTTCAAATTGTATATTGCTGTTCCTGCAGAATGGGGCGATTCACCTTAGTGACCCCCACCATATCTACTGATCAGCTAACGCCACCCTCCCTCCTTTTTTGATGTTAACCTCTGAGGCTATGATTATTATGGCTACCGCAAATATATTGCTTGGTACCAGACATGTTCGTACCTCATATTCCATCTCCCTAGCTTTCTTAATGAGTGCTTCCAATAGGTCTCCGCGTACATCTTTATGAACATTATATATGTATGCATGCGTCCTAATGAACAGATTACTTTACAAGAAGTTAGAACCTTAAAGAATAAAAAGAATAGGTTTTGTGAATAGTGGAGCAAGATTTAGCAGGACAATATAGTTAGGGATCAATGTAGGTAGTATGAACTGAAGGTAAGGTCGGTTGGCAGGACTTAGTGTACTAAATTATCATGACAGTCTTATATATAGTCAACATTTGACATTGCAAAGTAACCTGTCTACACTTATTATAAAAAGATATTAACACTGAACCAACAAAATTTCATCATTTGTTTAAGAATACTACAGAAGGGTAGTTAGTACTACAGGTAATCGTAAAGTAAATCAATCTATGTATAATAAGAGCATAGTCAGTGTCATAATTCGTATTATCAAAGAATACATTAGGCTTAATAACTGAGTGTTATAAGGGAAACAAGCAAGGTAAAGCAAGAGAACATTTGCCGCATAGCTATTTTAATCATTTTTGGGTATTTTAATGACAATCTAATATTAAGTATTGAACCTACATAATTACTAAGTGTTATTATATTGGTATTGGGACTAGTGTACTTTCCGTAGTTAAATATTGAAAAGCCATTGTCTCTCCACTCTACCAGCAGTTGAGATCTTTGAGGCGGGCTAGGGTGGACATGTTTATATGTTTTTCTAGGCTCCTTTTGAAACTGTCAGGCCTTTCACAGGATCTTATCTCAGAGGGTAGTTGGTTCCAAAGTTTGCAATATTTAATGGTGAAGAAGTTAGCTCTAGTGGTGAGTTTATGGGTGTTAACCTTGAGAAGGTAGTTATGGTTGCGTAGTCCATACGATTTAGGATTAGCATAGGTTATGGACGAGTTACTGTTACAGTGCTTCCTTATAACTTTGAATAAGAGAAATAAATTGCATTTCGAATTAAAACACTGAGACTAAAATGTAATAAATGCATGTCACCAAGATCATTATACCTTGCCTGTTCGTCATAGCCTTTTCTTTAACTAGTGAGTCGGTAGCCATACTTCACTCTTTTTCACACACATTTTTACTATTTTTAATCCGATTTTTACTACGCGTGACTACATACTTCAGATTATATCACTTCATGGTATTTCCATCTGACAAAAGGGAGACTTTTTTCTTGTGCTGAAGCTGATTTCAAGCACCGTGAGGTAACTGAACCGTGTTCTTTCTCCTGGTAGTCACACTTGCTCCGTAGGAGATACGACAGGTAAGTAATATCTTACGTGTTCACTATGGGTTTGAATAATCCCTTCAGTTTTTTCAATGCAGGATTCCGGAGGAAAAACCCTCCCCCGGACTGCTGACATCCCGGCAAACTTTTCCGCACCTTCCTGTTTATTGTATAGTTCTGACCTTGGCGGCCTGCTTAAATCTTGGGCTACCAATTACCTTAAACATTACAAATCGTATTGCATCTAATTTCTCATTTCTAATTGATATTTTAATCAATAAATCTTATTCAAATATGACCTCAAATCGGATTATTTATTCTCGTGAATATCTAATATCTTTAAAACCTACTGATCTGCAACTCCATAAAAAGACAATGAAAAAGCATCATGCCGGCTGGCAGAGAGCATTAAAAAATACCCCTATTCAATTCATGACTGTTCCCGCAATTATGAGTACCAATTGTCGCTCCCTGCCGGCTAAAATTAACTGTCTTCAATCGCTGGTGTCTTCCATTATATATCATAATACTGGGATCATATCACTTCAAGAAACATGGCTTCATGATCTATATGATGACAATCTAGTGTATCTAAATAATTTCAAACTATTCAGACAAGATCGGTGTAGTTCCAGGAAGAAACCCGGTGGCGGAGTCGCCATCTTCATCAATTCACAATGGTGTACGTCTAACAGTGTATGTTTCAAATTCTCTAGTGACAATATTGACTGTCTCACCGTTAAGTGTCGACCTAGACATTTGTCTAAATACAATTACATTTACATCTCGAACATGTATATTGCTCCTGGATGCAACTCCACAGAATTATCTTTATTTGCGGATGAATTTACTTCCCTTGCTGCCACCTCCTTCGGAAATTCCTTATCTATAGTTACTGGTGATTTTAATTCTAGTGACCACAGCTTCCTAATTTCACTTGGACATGATAACATTGTCAACTTCCCGACTAGAATGGACAACTCTCTTGATCTTGTGTTTACAAATGACGCAGGAATATTTGAAGCTCGAAAAAGAGCCCCACTACTTAATTCAGATCACTGTATCATAAGAACATTGCCCAAAGTATATGGAAAGCAGCACAAAAGGGTCTTCTCATACCTTGGAAAGAAAACACAACACAGATGTTATTCCCATGACAACATACTGAATCTAAGGTCCATGTTAAAAGACACAAACTGGGATCTATTTACTGAACAAGCCCTTGATAACACAATTGCCAACATAACACATTATCTTAATTTCTGTCTTGATGTTTGTTGTCCAAAAGAGACAATCTTCTTAAAATTCGATCGCTTCTCCTCTTCTCAACTCAAAAAGCTCCGCCGTGAAAAATAAAGGTTGTTCAAAATGGAAAACAAATCTGGTGTTAAGAGAATGAACACTTTGATTAAGCTTGAATTACAAAGATTGAATGCTCTCTATAACCAGAAGTTTCTTTCATGTAAATCCCCATCAAATATGTGGAAGTTATTAAAGGAAATCACAGGTGGTAAGCAAATGTTGAATGATATTTCTGTAGATGTTAACATGCTTAATGAATCCTTCATATGAATCCCAGCAAATGTTATGATTCCTAACTCAAATAGTGTAAACAATGACTGCTGCTCATGCTTTAACACGAATGATGTCCTCAAGTGTCTTCAATCTCTCAAGCCTACTCAGTCCCTCGGTCCTGATGGTGTTCCTGCTGTTATCCTTAAGAAGTGTGCCGACATCTTGTGTTCCCCGCTAACTGACATTTTCAACGAATCGTTTTCCAAAAGTATTATACCTGAATCATGGAAAAACATCAAGATCGTTCCAGTGCCTAAATCAACAAGTGGACCTCATGTTAAGTTTAGACCCATTTCAATTACCTCACCCTTCTTGAAAGTTATGGAAAGACTTATTTTACTTAATCTTGACCCCTCTTTAAAACCTTTCAACGACCCCAACCAGTTTGCTTATAAACATAGTAGGAGTACGTTAGATGCCGCTGTCGTCCTCCACCATAGCATAGTCTGTAGTTTAGATAAAGGAGCTAAATACGTTCGCTGTGCCTTCCTTGATTACACATCTGCATTTCACTCTGTTCCCAGGTCTCTCTTGCTAAGTAAGCTTGCTGCAACACAGGCTGAAAGCTGGACAAATAAGTGGTTGCAGTCCTATTTTTCTGAAAGGAAGCAGTACACCGTCTACAATGGAAAATCCTCCACTACCTCACTTACTTTAGCAGGCGTTCCTCAAGGCGCTGTTCTCTCTCCCTTTCTGTTTTCGTTTTTCCTACATGACTTGCCACATTCTGATGTAGCCACTTTTGTTAAGTATGCCGATGACCTCTCGGTCTCTATGCCTGTCAACTGTCAGTCAGATTGCTCCAAATTAAATAGCTTTCTGTCGGAAATTAGTCAGTGGTCCTCTTCAAACGGACTTAAGCTTAATCCGTCTAAATGTCAGGTAGTCAATTTCACTTTCAGACGTAAATGTGACCTACAGCAACTAGTTAGCTCACATGGCCCCACTATCATTGACGGCACAGAGGTTGAAAATACATCTAATGTGAAGTTCCTTGGGCTGAGTTTTTCCACCGATCTTTCCTGGTCTTCCCACATCTTGCTAGTTACTAGAAAGATGTTTCGCTTAACGTTCTACATTAGGAAATTTAGGCAGTCTGGCATAAAGCAGCTTTTGCTTTCTCAATTTGTAAATTCTTGTATTCTACCCATCCTCCTTTACTGCTCCCCATTAGTCTTTCCTGGACTACTTAAGAAAGACTTCGCTTCGCTGAGAAGGGCACTAAAAGCTGTTAGTAGGGCAAGTGGGATATCGTTAGACCAACTGGTGAACACTATTGTAGATAGACATATAATGTCATGTAAGAAACTAGCGAATACAATATTGTCGGACATCGAGCATCCTCTCTATACGCATCTATCTCCTTGCATTTCATCTGGAAGAACTAGAAGCAGCTATAGGAGGCTATATGCTAGGACTACCAAATACAAAAACTCCACAATACCATATCTGGCACAGCTGTTATGTGATGAGAAATCCGTTAGGTATGACACGATAAACTTACTGCGGCACTCTAACAAATAGTCCCATTAGTTTTTGTTTTCCTTTCCTCGTTACTACTACACTGTTGTTCTCATCTACAACCACACATTAACCTTATATTCCAAATCCTGTGGTGCATTGTTTGAAATGAAATACTCTACGCTGTTTTTTTTCTTAATTTTCAATATTTATTTATTTTATTTATTTATAACTTATTTATTTTATTTTTATGTATTTTTGATTTTTAAAAATCTTATATAATTTATGAGGTAATTAGATGCAATATACTGTAATGCACGCTGAAAATTCCATACCTGTACCACAAATACTGTTTGGAATAAAGCTGTTATTATTATTATTATTATTGCGGGGGGGGATAGAATTTCACCAAGTCAAGAGAATCTCAGCCGTTTCCCTACCAACAATCAGTTTATTTTTTTGAGTCTGACCAGGGATTGATATCATTGAGAGAACCATTGAAAACCAGGGAGTACTGGACAGCTGTTTCATCTTAGTTTGGGAATCATCGGCAGGATGCATCCACCACCAGGCTTCGAACTCAGGACCTTCTAGTTACAAGGCAAGCTCGTATACCGTTCAGCGACTGGGACTCCATTCCATGGACCATGAATTCTAACTTCTTCCGATTCGTGATTCATTGAGACCACTACCTAATGTCATCCGTGGAAAATCCATCTCTGCTTCGGAATGGATGAATCTCACTGGTTACGACTTCTCGGTAGAACTCCAGGAAACTCCGCCCTGTAGCAAGTCACTGATGCGCATCAGGTTATTTTCAAGAGCTGGTTTGTAAGGATAAAACAGGTATCCAGTACTCCTTGGTTTACAGTGGTCCTCTAAGTGGTATCAATCCTTGATCGAACTCGAAAAAACAAACCTAATCCTTACAAACCAACTCTTGAAAATCCTTTTATTTATCTGAGAGGAGTGAAACACATAGCGGTTAATATATCGCGGTACGTTCAACGTTTGCGTTACATTTTTACGTGATTCGTTACATAAAATTTATCTTGTTGTAGTACTTGCACAAGTACTATACCACTTCCATACTTGTAACCACTAACTCTCATTTCTAATAGTTATGGTTAATCAAAGTAAAAAGCAACGAACCCAATCCCCTGTAAAACTGGTGTCTAATTTAACGTCCTTGATTGCTACATCAAGCAACACACCCCTACAAACGGCTATAGTGAGTCACATAACTCACGTGTATGCCGTAAGCGTCGAGCTGAAACTGAAGATAAAACTGTACTGACAGCCAGTATTAGCACTACTCCTAAAAATTCGGTACCCTCTGCTCATACAGAACTCCTCCCTTCACCTTATGTGCTTATGGAGAAACTCCAGCCATCAAGCTCTTTTTCAGTACTATCTTCAGAAATAGAACTTCTAAAGTTGTCTATAGGAGAACTTAAGGCTGAGTTAAGGGAAATAAAAAACAGTAAGTCAGTAAATGCTGGAAACATCGAAACCAATACCGAGATATCCAAATTATCAGATCAGATCAGCGATATCAGATCGCAGGTCTGTGAATTGACACCTCTAACTATCCTCATGAAAACTGTAAACCTTAACAAGCTTGACACAGAATCGGTAACTAAGGTAGATAACCTCATTAATTTTGTTACCACAGAAGTAACAAAACGACTCGACGCAAAACTGAGTGCTATTGTCTACAACGTTCCGGACAATGAGGCACTAAAAAAGGTACAGCGCATCTTACTTAGTGAAGCGAAAATGCCTAACTCCAAGACTAAGTGCTACAGGCTGAAGAAGAGTCAACATGAAAAGTGTTGTCCTATTCGTTTTCAGTTCGAAACACCGGCAGAGACCAGAAAATTCATTCACTCCCAACACACCCTATCGCAAGCCAGAAACTACAAACATATAAAGGTCGGGGTGGAAAAAACAGTCATAGAAAGGCGCGCACACAACTATCTCACTAAGACTAATTGTGAAATAGGTAATAGGACATTGCAAGCAGCCATTATTCCCAACCCTGTGAAAGATACAGTAGACCCCACCGCATCACCCCTCTCAAAACACACAGAAATATCCCATCAGAGTGCAACACCAGCCGAAAGGCCACTAGACTGTAACCAAATAAATAATAAAACCATACCACCCATCACCGCAGAATCTAAAATGCCACTAAATAACCCCAGAAAAAAAGTTAAAACCCCCCGAAATTCGACTTTGTCCTCTCCTAGCTATAATTCCATTGGTAAAGATAAGGAAAATATGCCCCTAAATCATACCAACAAAAACAGTGGCAGCTTAAATAAGCCCACACTCCCCACGGTTAATAGTATTAGCACTCACAACGTGCTAAATCGCACCGTGGCACACACTAATATCCAATGTCACAACGATGTCACCCTCAATAGTACAAGTGGTAATAGTCAGAACTCGGCTACCAACAACTCAGGGTCTTCAGAGTATGGCACACAAACAAATTTTGACCGGATATATGGTACAAGTCTGCTGGGAACTAACCCACAATGCAGTACACACGAAACCCACACAAGGACACAACTAGCATCAAACAATAGGTGGAATAATAAGCCATGGTCATCACAAGGATCCAATCATTTTTTATCCCCCGCGTCCCTGTCAGCGTTGAAAAAACAGCTGGTAGGGATGTTAACACTCCTAAACCACTAGTGCTGGCTCCCTCCTTGCATGAAAACAGGAACGGTCTAGTGCACCCGTATCCATTGGACACACTTGACACTTGCACAAGTATAGGCCAAATAAAGAACCCTACCCACTTCTGTAACCTAACTAAAAATAAAAGTTCCTTAGTCTATAGCAAATCCAGTACTCCAACTCCTAATTCTTCACCGAAAACAGCACACACCAACTCGATAGACATAGGTGAGCATGATGCTGAAACTCCTCTTAACATAGGATCGTCATGTCCAGCAGAACTACTGGGTGCTGAACCATATTCGGGGCTGACTAACGAACTTAAATACTTCAAATGCTACTTCAACTCTCATCTTTACGTAATCCTCATAAATGCTAGATCTGTTCTAAATAAATTGCCGATGCTCAGAGCACTCACAGTAATATACAAACCCCCTGTAATTGTCATCACTGAATCTTGGTGTCATTCGGACATCCTGGATGATGAAATAAGCTTAGATAACTACACACACTTTCGGTGTGACAGGGAAGGTGGTAAGGGAGGGGGTTGTCTCATGTACTTTTTGAATGAACTTACTGTATCACAGCTAGAAAGTAGTACACTTAACATGCCTGAGACTCTATGGGTTAATGTACACTTAAATAACGTAACAGCATTAATTGGATGCACCTACAGAGCACCTGGCACCTTTAGTAATTACGAGACCCAACTTATTAATACTCTGGAGCAATTAACCGACTTACAATACGATCATAAGATCCTATGTGGGGACTTTAACTTACCTGAAATCAACTGGGATATACCCACAGGTCCAACTAAATTTGATAAGTTCTTAGACACACTGGATATACTTGGCTGGAAACAAACTGTCACTACTCCCACAAGAGGTAACAACGTACTAGACTTAATCTTCTGCCACAATATAAGCCCCCTTTCAACGCTAGTAGGTTCTGAGTTCCCAGGGAGCGACCACAAAACAGTAATGTGTGCACTGCCAATTCCGCTGAGTAGCAATGCATCTCATACCTCCACTTCACAACAAGTAATATATAGGAACTATAGTAAGGCAAACTGGGCCTTAGTTGAATCGATGCTAAGATCCTCCAAATGGGATGAATACTTCACTACTGATGACCTATCGAGAGCCCTAACCATCTTCTACCATAACTCAAACATATGCTTAGATGCTGTCATTCCACTCCAAACACTAAAGGTTTCCCCACACAGAAAGTCATTCATAAAACCAAAGGATCGTAAGAAACTGAAGAAACTCTCAACAAGTTACTTCAAACACCACGACTTTGGCACTCTAGGTCTAATACTTAAAACCCTTAGCTCCATCACACAAGCTCAAGATTTCCGTATGAGAAAGGAAGAACGCATCGCAGTAGCCAGTCCTGCTAGAGTGTATGCACTCACAGAAATCTTAAGGAAGCGAATGAATCGCAAAAATCACAGCATTTCTCTCCTCATAGACAAAGGCAGGCTATGCACTAACTCTGCAGACATATGTGAACTATTCAACAAAACGTTTGCAGGTAACTACCTTAAGCCCTCAGTCCAGCTACTCGATATACACCCTATTACTAAAATGGCACCAACTCCACTGACACCAAACCAAATTAGCACTGTTCAATTCACTTACGCTGACATTAACCAAACTATAAGAACCCTCAAAAGTTCAAAAGGTTTCGGTACCGACGGTATATCATCTTACTTCTATAAATATGGTGGCCCTGACATTCCTCTACTACTGCTTAAAATATTCACAATGTCCCTAGAAACCCAAACTTACCCTGACATATGGAAGACTACATTCATTATGCCTAAACACAAATCTGGCTCGAAAACTGAAGTCAGTAACTACCGGCCAATCAATATCACACCTATAGCATCTAGAATCATGGAGAGACTAGTCAAAGATAACCTAATCAAACATATGCTTAGCTGCAACATCATAAGTCCGAACCAACATGGATTCCTGAAATCCAGATCATGTTTAACATGTCACCTAGACTTCTTCAATTTTGTAACCAGCAGTCGTGACAGACGGCAACTAGTACTTGTCATCTACTTTGACATTTCTAAGGCATTTGACCGTGTTGACCATTTACTGCTAACAAATAAACTGAACTCCTTAGGAATACGTGACCCATTATTAGGATGGCTTAAATCATTCCTTAACAATAGGTCCCAAATAGTTAAACTCGGGTCTGCAACCTCCAAACCTAGCCCTATCACTTCTGGTGTAGTACAAGGTAGTGTCATTGGACCCCTCCTATTTACACTATACATCAATGACATATGCGCTTGCTTCACGCACGGGAAACCATTCATCTTTGCAGATGACCTAAAAGTAGCTTATACATTCCAACGTGATGACTTAGGGAACTTCGAGAATGTAGTACAGAAGGAATTAGATAAAATGGCTGCTTGGTCGTCCCTATGGAATCTCCAATTTAATCTGAACAAATGTGGCTGGATCTGCTTCGGT